AACAGAACCAAACTGAATTTAAAGAAGTGGGTTTATTTCTCCTTTTATTTAAATATCGATTACAATTCAAATGTCAAACTGATAAAAGATGTCAGTCTTCAAAGGTTAAGAAAATCCCTCCATCGATAAAAAGCTCAACTCTCTTTAAACGAGCTGCAGTGATTCATGATCGGCTCCAACTTTTAAAATATTCGCCTCGATTGTTTCTAATAATCAAACTGGAGGAATAAAATCAACTGGAAGATTTCTGAGGACAATCCTCCTCCTGTCCATCACTGAAGCTCAGAGAGGGGTGAGGCAGAGGAGGGGTGAGGCAGAGGAGGGGTGAGGCAGAGGAGGGTGAGTGGGGGGTTAGCAGATGGACTCCAGCAGACAAAAGAAGTCGACAGATGCAGCTACAAAGACGCAGATCGCACAAAAACACGGAGACAAAAATCCCAGCCTGAACTTCCACAGAAGCTTCCAGCGCCCACCTGAAGCTTCAGGAACACCAAGAACTACCTGGAGATGTTGTGAATCTGTCTGAGGAGCCTTCATTAACAAAAAGAAAACAGTTCCTCTTTCTTGAGATAGTTCAGGCCTCGAACATTTTCTAAACATTTCAAGGTAGTGAGGGTTCAGTTCCCGCAGCCTGATGGAGAAGCTCCGTTGAGATCAAATCAGGTGTAGAAAGAGAAAATATGAATTCACTGTAAACTGAACGTCTGTCCTCGGGCGCGCTGCGTTTCAGACATTTGAGAACTTCCTGCCGTCGTCCAGGAGGCTGCTAGGAGGACAAAGGGACAGAGAGTCTCTGCCCAACCCCCCAAATCAGCCGACTAGAGAGGACGCCCGCTGCTGGACCGGGTGGTCCACAGCGTGAGGGGGCGGAGCTCAGGACCGAGGGGGCGGAGCTACATTTGTGGGGTTGTTCTGAGAGACTCGAACTAAATGCCACTATTCTTTAAAGGAATGCATATTGCACACTTGAGTGCAGATCAAAGATCTTAGTGTGTGTTAGGGAAGACTCTCAACTACTACCACAACAAACAGTTGCTCCATGTCTGAGAAAGAGGTGGGGGTTATGGTTATTTTTGTGTTGGAGATGGACACAACTGTGCACTGAAAACATCTGGCTGAACCTTTTTACCCACGTGTGTTTGGTGGCAACAACAACAACAACAACAACAACAACAACAACAACAACAACAACAACGATAAAAGCCAGCTCAGCTGCTGGCAGCCGTCGTTGGGATTATTCTAATTCTGTTTTGATTCTATTGAATGAAAGTTGACGCTGACTGAGAGGAACTATGGTTTAACACTGGTTCTAATGGTTTTCTCTCACTGGTTTAAGTTCACACTGAATCATAAGACGTCATGGTCGGGTTCAAGGACAAACTGAGACAAAACAGCCCAAGTTGAAAGAAAACCTCTGTTAGATCTTGAGAAAGTCTGGAGGACTGTTGACCTCTAAGACTACAGGACATGTGGGTCGTTTAAAGAAACTGATACCATAAGTTTAAAATAAAATCTTAAAACCGTCTGATGTCTTTAAATAGTCCGACTGAAAGTTCATCGCAGTTTGTTTAGAAGGAATGGAGCTCCTCCTTTTCTCGCCGAGTGTGGCCCGGTCCTGGTCCCGGTCCCGGTGTGTTTGGACCAGCAGGTAAAATTCGGCTGAGTGGACGTGAATCGAAGACGTTCAGTTCTGCAGCGAGACGCCTGAGATGACTTGGTTTGCCTCTCTGCTCTCAAGTTTCAGAGACTGATGGAAAAGGAACTGCAGGCCTCCATCACCTCCAGCTGTTTTCTATCATTTATTCCCCCTCCAGCCCCGAAGGTCCCGCTAATGGCTGGAGCCTTCAGCCCAGCAGGACGTGAGCTGCCACTTCCTCATGAGCACTTTAACATTTCATCTGTTCCCTGCAGCCAACACCTGGTTACATTCAAACACAAGTTATTCCTCCTGCAGCTTCAGACCTACTAAACCAGGTAATACGCTTACTTTTAACCGGAAACAACACCTGTTCTTCTTCACAGGAAGTCAGGAAACAACACCTGTTCTT